ATTTGAAGCTGTTTGTTTGAAAATCTGTTAACAGAAAAAAACAAATTTACATTTTTTTGCAGATTGTGAAACAGATTTTTCTTCATTAAAACAGATTAAACCTAAAAATCTTTTTATTTTTTTGTTTAACTTCAGATGTTTGTTAGAAATAAAGAAAATGATTCAACAAACAGTCAAACTGAATTTGATCAATAATTAAAAACATTTATGAAAAAACAAGCATCATCAGGTAGAAACGAGACAAATAAAAGTTTTTTCAGGTTAAATCTTCAGCAGGAAGAAAAACTTTTGTTTTAAATGTTTATAAACAGAAAACAAACCTGAACTCAGGATTCAGTTAACAGTATTTGTTTAAAATAAATGTAAGGTTTCAGCAGCTCTTTTTCCCACAGGTCTGACCCGACCCAAACGGTTCCGAAGCCTTGAACTCTCCGCACACAGAACTCTGGACTCAGCAGCAGCAGAACCACGACCCGGTTCTGAATCAGGAAACTGTCATGTTTTGTTTTCCACTCGTCTGAGCAGGAATGTAAAAAAAACTAAATAAAAAAATCAGTTTCCAGGGTTTTTCCCTTCAGAACCAGAACCTTCAGCTGCTTTAACAAGGTTCTGGTCCTGGTTCTGGTCCTGGCAGAGATCGGATCGTTTCCAGACCAAAGTCAGACAGAACCTCCGCCGTGCTTCACAGCTGATCCGTTTCTCCTCTCGGCTTCACTTTTTATTTTTCACTTTCGACTGTGCTTTTGGGTCCGGTTCTTGCGGGTCACCAGAACCTGAGCTGAAAGTTAGAAACCGGTCCAGAGGCTGCACTCTGTCGCGTCTCCATGGCAACAGCAGAGCCTAAACACCCGGGTGGAGGCCGACGTCAGAAACAGGTTCTGTTTTTATCTGCAGGACCAACAGAACCAGAACAAATCAGATTTTCTGACAGGAGGAACCTCTGGTTTCAGCTTGTTGGAGGATAAATCTGACAGCAGCAGAAACCATGAAGAGTTTGTTTACAGACAAACAACAACAAACGGTTTCCTGCTGAGCACCGCCCCCTGCTGGTCGCTGCGCGTCGCTGCAGCTGCCTTTGTCTTCAGATAAAAACATCAACAGAACCACAGAAACCTGCGGCTGTTTTATTAAAAATAAATAAATCTGATTTATTTTCCTGCTCACGTCCTTCATCAGCTGGAAGCTAAATGTAGCTTTTCTTTTTAAGCTTCTCTAAACGTTAAAACAGCTTCATGTTTGACTCAGAGCGGATTATATTTATTACAGATCAGCTGTTCAGGTCAGTAAAGCTCCACACAGGTCCTCTTCACTTCTTCGGCCTTTTGGTCGACCCCTCCCTCCTCCCGGAGTGCGTTCTGTCCGGAGGCGAGTCCAGCAGCTGGCTCTCCACCTTCAGCACCTCCTTGAACAAACTCCACGGCTCCACGTCCAGCAGGAAGGAGAAGAGGAGCAGCAGCCAGCCGAAGGAGCGCGGCAGCGTCGGCTGCAGCTCCAGGAAACGGCGGCGAGCCGAACATCGCCTGCAGAGGAGGAGAGCTCAGGGTTAACGGAAGGAAAACGGCTGCTCGTCAACATCTGCAGGCCGATGGGGCGGAGCCTAAGTTCTTGTAAGGTTTTAACTGGTGTTCAGCTTCTCTCAGCTTCACCAACTCAGTTTTAGCTTTTTTAGTAAATTTCAGCAGCTCACTGCATTTTACAGAAATGAAACAAAGGAATTCTTTGGCTGGTAACCTGAGGCACAGCTCGTACAGAAGGGTCTTCTTCGGCTGATAATTCAGCATGTTTTACATCTCATACACAGGAGTCTCTTTCAGCTGATAACTTTTCTCTTTCGGCTGATAACTTGTCTCTTTCAGCTGATAACTAGTCATAGCTGAAAACTTGTCTCTCTCAGCTGATAACCTGTCTCTTTCGGCTGATAACCTGTCTCTTTCGGCTGATAACCTGTCTCTTACAGTTGATAACGTCTCTTTCAGCTGATAACTAGTCATAGCTGAAAACTTGTCTCTTTCGGCTGACAACCTGTCTCTTACAGCTGATGACCTGTCGCTTTCGGCTTATAACCTGTCTCTTTCAGCTGATAACCTGTCTCTTTCAGCTGATAACTTGTCGCTTTCGGCTTATAACCTGTCTCTTTCAGCTGATAACCTGTCTCTTTCAGCTGATAACTTGTCTCTTTCAGCTGATAACTTGTCGCTTTCGGCTTATAACCTGTCTCTTTCAGCTGATAACCTGTCTCTTTCAGCTGATAACCTGTCTCTTTCAGCTGATAACCTGTCTCTTTCGGCTGATGACCTGTCGCTTTCAGTTTAACTTGTCTCTTTCGGCTGATAACTTGTCTCTTTCGGGTGATAACTTGTCTCTTTCGGGTGATAACTT